CTATTCAGGTGCCGCCCCTGAAAGCTCGCGAAGCCCGCAAAACACGACGCACGGCCATGTGGCAGCACCGACAGGACCGGCTACGAGGACCACCGACGACCCTCGAGCTCGCACGAATCCGAGCCAAGAGGACGCGTGACCATGTGGAAACCTCGAGGCGGCGACGCGCCGACAGGGTCGTAACGCTGCGATCTTTCTCTATCGGCGATCCATTTCCCACCACTCCCTCTCGCCGATCCGTCGATCGCTCATCGACGACCCCACGGTTTTCGAAATTTCCTTCGAAAGCCGAGCGTCTGTCTAATGATCTTCCTGAAATCTACCTCGATACTGAGCCAATCGACCCCTCATGGTAAAATGAGAATCGACCGGCGAACAAAGGATTCTAATCGCTGGCATTCGTGGCCAAAGCAATCGCCGGGATCTGTGAAAGGACAACGAAGGATTTGCCCCAAGGATTTTGCTCGGGCTGAGTTGGCCCACCTGAAACACGGCACTGTACACGATGCTCGCCGAGAATCGACGAGCCGCCCTATCTGTCGGTCCCTGTTCCGCGTGCGTGCGCGCGCTGTCCCTCCAGCCCACCCCTAGCCCGATCCACACCGTGCTCTCCGTTGTGTGTGTTCGGCATCTCGCCTACCCTCTATCCTTCCTCGTTTGCCGTTCCTCTCCGCGAGGTATCCCAGTCGATACTGACACAGACAGTACGAGATCGACTCGTCAGAGGGTGCTGAACGGAGTGCAGAAGCAACCAAGGGGATGAAGGAGGCGAAGCAAAGGGTGGCTGTGGCACAGCTGCGAAAAAAGAGAGCCGCCTGCCCTACGTTACACTCTCATTCGCCCCGTTTCTCTCTCCGTTGAAATTGCACAATAGAAATGACGCCTTATCCGATGCGGACGTATCGGACACTGCTCCCTCGGCATCCCCCCGAGCCTCGCAGCATCCCCCATGCCTTTCCGCGCTGTACTTTCCGCTTTTCTCGCGCCGTTCGTCGCTGACGAGCTCAAAATTGTTACGCTCGCCGGAACGCCGGGAGGATTTTTCGAGTTTTCCGCGTCGCCGAGGGGCAAAGACTTTAATGGGTGGGACCCGTGAATGGGTATCGTTATCGATGATGGTAACGGGACGCGTAATCGACCCTGAACACCGTCCGCGTTCCCGAACAAAACGAAACAAATCTCGATACAACGAGCGTGGCACCGATACGAGAAACGTTCGCGGGGACATCATTGGAAAAGTATTCACGTGTAATTCCCACGTGGACGCCGGGTCGAGGGTCGGCGTATTTACGCAGCGACTCCATCAGCCGGTATAATTCGACGCTCGGGGGATGGGAAAAGATATGGAAAAAATGTGACCCCGGTGATTCCGCAGCCTTGGAGCAACATGGATTTGCAGAGCTCTGCGAGCACGAGAACAAAATAATGAAACGCAGCCGCAACTTGCGCGGATCAACGGCTGTCGAGCCCATGAGGTCCGTCTTCCGCGGAAAAGGGAACACGTCGCTTTGAGTCGTAAAGCGTACGTTAAACTAAGAAGCAACATTATTAGCGTTCGCGGTATTAAAGCTCGAAATGAAAAAGATACGTATCGACGAGTCCCGTGGTAACTTGTTGAGCAAACGTCCAGAACGCGTCGGGAGACACGCTACGCGTATATTGACCGAGTTTCGTGTAAACTGGAGCTCCGGAGATCGCAGATTCGCGCGTCTACTTGTCGGACTGCGGAGACTTCGTTCTTTTACCGTTTTCTCGAACCCGATCGGTTCTCGAGGAATCGAACTCCCCGACAGTCCACGTCGATGCGAAGACAACCGTGTCCGATAATCGTGTCTCGCATCGAAACAGGAACGGTAAACATCGAACGAGACCACTATTTGGAGAAATATTTGGAGAGGTTTCTACCGGATACGGGGCAGATCCATACCACCGGTCAACGAGTGCACCGCGCGTGGTGATCGGTTCTCGATACACCTCAAAGTTCCGGGGAAATATTCGCGTAATCGTGGATCGCAACGGGTACCGGTTAATTGGAGCGAAACGGGTCAAATCGAGGAAAATATGTGACAAGCGCGTGCACGTAAATGCAGCCAGGTACGCGAGATAACCTCAGATATGCGATAGTCCGTTGCTCTCTGGCCTGATGGGGTATGTGTAAGGTATTTCCGGGTGCACCCCGCTACCTCCGATCTACAGGGATTCTCCAAAATAAACGGGTATGCGTGAAGTTCTTGTTTCGAGGCGCAGACGCCGGAATTCCTCGGGCCTCGAGGGTTGCCGCGCTCTGCATTGCCTTTGGACAACGCGAACACGCCCTGCCCGAGCCTCCGGCCTGATACGTATACCGGCGAAAGTACAACGGAATTCGAAACTGTTCGCGTATTCGACAGGCATTCCCGCGTCCGCGCTCGCGTTTCGCGTTTCGCGTTTCACGTTTCGCGCCCGCGCTCCAGCTCGCGCGCGGAAAGCTCGACGATGAATATTACTGATGCATGTATCGCGATATCAATAATTCATGACCCGGTGAGACGATCGCTGACCGAATGCCATTTGCGTTCGCGACCCATAAATTGATTCGTTGTATTTGAAGGTGTCAGCCCATAATCCGTACGATCCCACTCTAATTACGTCGTTAATTTTATCCCCGTGATCCGGACACGAAGAATCTGTCCCCGCCAGAGAGTCTACTATGCATATACACCGGACGCGAAATTCAATTTTGCGGGGCAACGCCGGCCATCGATTCGCCGATTAATTAACGCGAACCGATTCGCGGCAGCCGTGGAATCATCCTAACGTTGTTCCCGAAAAATGGAGCTACCCGAGAATTATTCAGCGCAGTCCCACTACCGGATTATTTCCCAAAGGTGTTTTCGACGCGATGGAAGATGAACTGGATCCGAACGTCGACGTCTTGTCACGTGAATTTGCGACGACTCGCCTAAATGGAAATTTCAAGTTTGCCATGGACGCGAAATGGTAAACGATCAACGGTATTCTTCGACCGTCGATCAAAATCGAATCCGATTTAATTGATATGTGAAGTCAATTACACCTTGACTAGGACAAATGTTGTCAGTAATCGTAACGACGAATTAGGACGATGTTACCGTGACGAAGAATACGATACGTAACGTCAACGGACAATATTACGTGCTGTTTCGCCCGTAGCCCATTTCCACGAATAAATTCATTTTGAATATTGATTCCTCATTGCGGCTGTTGCGGTCCCAGTACAGAACTAGCGGATGATAGAGCCGCTACTGTTTTCGAGTTCGCCTCTCAGCGCGGGCCAGATGTATTTGTAACCGCTAACGAGCGCGCGAATGCGCTGTATCGGTCTCTCGTTCGGTTCGCAACGCGCGAGTCAGTAGTACACTCCCTGACATCTCAACACACCCCGTTTGTCGAATATCTATTAATTCGGGATCCGATGGCGACAGATCCTTGCCGTCATTGTGTTTAATGAAAAGACGTCGCAGCTAGAGGCGAATTGTGCGAGACAACGCTCAGAAGACCACCGTAGCGAGTCCCGCCGCAAGGAAATTGCAGGAAACACGATTTTCCGTGAATCGCGTATGTACTAGACCTAAATATTATCTTAACACGTTCGTAGTCATACGTCATTTGAAATTCTTAACTGAACGCCGCTAACATAGTCCTACGACACTTTACAATCTCCTAATGTTACATCAAAATCTGTAGCTAACTATTCGTAACATTCTATTTATATTAACACTCATTTGAATAGATGCCACAGATTCTTGCGATATTCAGCTACAGACTTCGAAAAGTTCTCTCGAATATGTTGACTGGACTCTCAGCGAGGCCTTCGAGGAGAAAGAAAGTAAAATAATAATTCCGCATATATACGTACAGGAAGAATAACGGAAAGCAGAATACCTAAATATCTTTGTTGGATTTAAAGGAATGAAATATGTGTACAGCAGAATTAGAATGGTTTCGAAGGACGTACACCGCCATCGTAATATTTTTTTCGGTACTTTCATTTAAAATGAAAATTACAGATATGTTACTGATATTTGCAGAGATCCAATATTATTTTTTTCGATGCAATTCTTTAAGTATTTTCAAGGTTACCAACGTTTTTTTCATGGAATTGCATATTCCTTTCCCTTGTATATTGTTGCGAGCCTTTAAACGAGTTCAACCATGCAACGCGATATGATTTACAAATGAAATAAATAAAATTCAACGTGTAAGGTTCGTTTGCTTCTTTTCTTTTACGCCAAATATTCAAAATTATTCTAATTAATATATATCTTATATTCAATTCATATTCAACGTTGAACGTTCTTTCAGCGCATCGCAAAACGGCACCGCTGTCGAATTTAAGAAGCGGCCGGTTACCTCGTTTCGCGTAGTTGCTTAACGTTATTCCCGACGCGACGACACGGGACTCCCCGATTCCCCCGTCCCTCTGTAATGATGTTTCCTCGAGCTCGAATTCCCTCTTTTTTCCGACCCGTCTCCGCCTTTGTCTTTTATCCATCTCCTCGACCTCGTGGGACCGAACATCTTGCTTTAACGTTACTGGAAGATCAGGACTCGAGCGAATGTTGTCGGTGTGACAGACGGCCCGAGACAACTCTCGTGGGAGTCGGAGCGGATAGAGAGGAGAACCCTTCAGCTGCCGACGAAGTTAACTTCCGAGGGAGCGAGAAGGGAATACGCGAAGCGCAGCCCGTTTCGGGAAAGATCGGTTCACGAGCGAGTCATTTCTCTTGTTCATGGATCGTGCATGGATGGATGGTTGCAACGGAGACCCTCGAAAGTGGAAAGGGACAATGCTTTTCAATAAACGAACCCATCAGATCTGCCCTCGTCCGTGCGGCCCTTACTCCGAATTCCCTGTTACACGAAGGAGCAACGTGCCGCGTCAGTTTCCTCGATTCAACGGTAAAAGTAGAGTTCATTACCGTGAGAAGCAGCAGAATACAACACGTACAACACTAAACCTCGATTAGCTTCTTCTTCAATGAGATACATCTTGTGACCGCTATCTCCGAACGCGATTGCAAGATTTAAAACTGTAACCGTTGAAACCCTTCGTGTTTTTGGTATTGCGGTATCGAGTTGAGCTTTTACCTGAATTGTCAAATAATTATTACACGACGCAAGCTTCTGTAAAATTATTGGATGGGAATAAAATAAATAATGTCCCTCGCAGGCTGCTGCGAATGCACGTATGTGTACGTATCTCGTACTTCTTCGAAATCGTCCCGAATAAGAATAGCGGGGAACTGCTCCATCACTGTTAGAGGAACGTCGCAAATTGCGACGGTGCCTGAGAAAGTCCGCAACGGCAACGCGAGTGGAAATTACAGGAACAAACGTCGTTTCTTGAGCAACGCGGCTAACAATTCGAGCAGCGGAGCCGGCAACTGGTTCAAACTAACTTTCTGGGGGGGAGGCAGAGAATTAAAAGTGTTATCGCAACGTTAACGCGGTCTACTGGGTGTAGAATGATCAGCCGTGCATGAGGCGGGACGACGGTGCACCATCTGAGCGACGTTCGCACGTGTATACCGGGTGTCACCGAACGAAATCGCTATAATTTACGGATCTAAACGCTCGTTAGAACTCCAACGCGTACCTTGACTACCATATCTGAGTTTAGATAACGGCTAGGAGGAAGAGAGAAAGTAACGTGGCAGAACGCAATGGCAAAAAAGCAAGGACAAGAGAGAAAAGAGAACGGCTGGGGAACGTTTCGTAGCGGTCAACCGTTCGCGCAGAGACGGGCAAACCTAACAACAAACTATAATGGAATTTCAGCTTATCTCATGGTCCTGAGAGTTTTCCCGTGCAACTGAGCGAGAGAACGGTCAACGGATCTAGAGATAGTATACTGCTCGATACGTGAGGCCACATTAATTACCGCTTCGTCCCGAAAACCAACAAGTTTTCCTTTGACCATCCCTTTCCCCTAAACTAGTTTGAACTACCCTCTTTCCACGATGGAGGGAGGATCCACCGATTTTCCCTTACATTTTGGTAACCGATGCATCCGTTTCCGTTTCATTCCCGAAAATTTCGAACGAAACTTCACGATCGCGCAGACTTCGGTAAACCAGACTTCGGCAGCAGACGTATGAACCTCAATGTATTTAGAGTTCGCCTGAAAACTCAATCTCAAACGAGAGCCGAACGACAGAGCGAATTCGCAACTGTGTCTACTGAAACGTATTACCGCCGTCGCTGCGTCCACGTTTCCTGAGCTAAGCGACACTGGTAAAATCATAAATTTCGGCATGGTTTACTGGGCCAGGATCTTGGCGTTACCACTTCGAATAGCGATGCAAGGGTTTCGGAGCGGGGGGATGGGGAAAAGAGGAAGAGGGGCGCAAAGAAGAGAGCCGCAGCGCATTTCAATGCACCCCGGTGCAGAACATATTCGTAGACACAAGCAGATGCAGCCAGTGCACGTGCAACTCGGCGCGCTTGTCTCTGTGAGCTTACACGATAGGAACGCGAGCCGCGCAACTACGCGGCCGTACACACACGCGGACGCACACCCCTTCCAGGGAGAAGCTACTATTCCGCGCTGGAAAGTGCCACTGCGGCCTTCCTCCCGCAGGCGCTTCGTGACGAAGAAACCCGGAAAAACAGTGTCACGTTTATCATCGGGATCCGCGAGCGCAACCGGATAAACCTACCGGGAGATATAAGCGCGAGAAAACGACCGACATGCAAGGATAAAGTGGCTCTCTAATGTACCAAGCCCAGACCCATAACATCTCGTTTCCGTCACCTCTGTCAAAGATGCTGCGGCTACAGGACGTTGCCGTCTCGTCCGCCATAGCATTTGCCTTCGACCTATGTATCCGTATGGTCGAGGAATTTACCTCAGAATCTTTTCAAACGAGGAGAAAGGTAATATTTGCGAACCCATGGTAATTCAGTGTCCGCGTTAACACTGAGAAAGAAGGAAGTGCTTAATGACAAACTACATATAAAACGCATTAGCGTGCACGTGCACTTCTACGGAGAGAAGAGGGCAGTTACCTCAGTCTCCGACGCACGAAAGTTATTCCCTGGCGCGCTCAGTAGTGCTTCGCAACGGGGAAACCCAGAAAAATAATCCCGTTTATCAACACGCGTACCGTCCGAGAGAAGCGTTCCGGTAGAAAATTATCGCGAGACGTAACTTTCGATGACCAGTCGAACTGGCCAGCTTGTTATAAATCGCACGCGGATCGATCAATTTCAAAGAACGGGAATAGCGCTGGATATGCGCCATTAAAGTGTCCGCAATATTCCTTAAATATCTCGGATAGAATTATCGTTGAACAGAAATGGATTTTAAATCGTATCGGTTCGCAGGGAGGTCGAATCGAGTGAATCGATTCGTGCATAAAATCGATCGCTTCGACGTTTCATCAGGATTATTCGCCGTTTGACCCAGCGCACGGCAGTTGGAAACACTCGACGAGGGGGTAGAAATATTTGAGCCGGGACCGGGTCGAAGAAGAGCCCGTTCAAAAGGGCGTAGGAGCCGCGAGGAGGCGGAGAGCCCGTGCAAAACCGTCTTTTTCTACTGTCGAGTGCAACGAACAGGGCCTGCGCCATGATCGGACGCTCGTAGTGCGCAGCCACGCTCGGCCAGTCCAGTGCATGCGCAATGGTATATTGATCCCGGTAAATCTGAGATACACGTAACATCATCCAGTGGTCCATTGGCTGTACACAATGTCATTTCTGTTCACGGTTTTTCCGGCATCACGCGAGCGAAACGAAACGGAGGAGCGCCAGTAATGCGAGACAACGCATCGATTGCTCGCTACGTACCCGATCGGCCTGCGTACCGCGGAGATGAAGATTCGAAAGGACCGCGTTAGAATATGATACTCTCGGGAGGACGCAGGATCGAATCTGCTGGGAAGCGTAGTGCTTCGGGGGAACCTCAAGAGAATCGAATCTCAAGTAGGTAACTTTGAATTTTTGTCGTTACCTACGACGGATCATCGATCTTAGTGAATCGATCGAGCGGGTTCAAACGAACGAACGTCTGCTCGAGCATCCTCCGTCCCGTAAAGAAATTAACATTTGAAATTTTCAGGTAAAGTAAAGCGAGACACTTTCATCGACTACTGTCGACAACTTGTCTTCTACAGCCGAGCATGGAATAACACGGAGCGCTACGTTCGCAGCCGGTACGTTCTCGCGTAACGCCGAGAAACGCAAACGATCACGTCGGAACGCTTCAGCTTTCATCCTCAAGAAAACTCCTGAAACAACTACGAGAAGCACAAAGACACGATACGTTAAACTGCTTTCGTCGAATCGTGTCGTGAATGAAAATTGTTTGTAGAAAGTCATGTTTATCGACGATCGAAAACTCGACGAGGATGCCTCGTGCAACATCGATAATGAGAAAATTGAACCGTGACTCGTTTCAATCTAAGATTGACACGCGCAACAGGTTTGTCATTTCGGGAGTAGCGACAACTCGCAGGGCTTGATTAACCTATCGGTGTCACGCTGAAAGCCGGCACGCTACACCTTCCCCATTATTCAATGCACTTGATACTCTGAACATTTCGATCGATTACAATGTCCTTTGAACTTACGCAACGAACAGGAACCTGGCCGAATACACCTGAAGATCTAGACGCGCACGTTTCATGAAGATGCTATTGCGAACGTTCATTTTGATCCTCTTGGCGAGGATATGCTATGGCAACCCCGACGCGAAGAGACTGTACGACGACTTGCTGTCCAATTACAATCGACTAATTCGGCCCGTCCCCAACAACACAGACACCGTAGTCGTTAAACTCGGACTACGTCTTTCCCAGCTTATAGATCTCGTATGTAGCTCGCATGTTAACTCATAAATCAAATCATTCATCTAACGATTTCATTACGAAATTAACGAAAGTCAAGTTCAACGGTTTCAGAACTTGAAAGATCAGATCCTCACGACGAACGTTTGGCTGGAACACGTAAGTAGACTTGAGTAAATTACTGCCGGCTGTCAGTTGCAAATGAGAAACACGCGTTCGATTTAACTAATTTGCCTTAGGAATGGCAAGATCACAAGTTTCAATGGGATCCTGCGGAATACGGAGGTGTCACTGAACTCTACGTCCCCAGCGAGCACATATGGCTTCCCGACATTGTTCTTTACAACAAGTAGGAACGATCGAAGTCTGACTTGAGAAACAAAGCTGCCCTGCTGCTGACTGTTAAACATAATAAATGAAATGAATTTTCAGTGCCGACGGGGAGTACGGAGTCACCACAATGACGAAGGCCATTTTACATTACACCGGAAAAGTGCTGTGGACACCACCAGCGATTTTCAAATCGTCTTGCGAAATAGACGTTCGGTATTTCCCGTTCGATCAACAAACTTGCTTCATGAAATTCGGTTCGTGGACGTACGATGGATTTCAGGTACATTGAACATTCGAATTTTCAGCCGAGAAGCTAACTAGAGTTGCCGCCATTTCTCATAATCCCCGTGCATCCTCCTTAGATCGATCTTAAGCATATTAATCAGAACAAGGGGAACAAAGTCGAGGTTGGCATCGACCTCCGGGAATATTACCCCAGTGTTGAATGGGACATATTAGGTGTCCCAGCGGAACGGCACGAGAAATACTATCCCTGCTGTCATGAACCTTACCCTGACATTTTCTTCAACATCACGTTACGACGGAAAACACTGTTCTACACTGTGAACCTGATCGTGCCGTGCGTGAGCATCTCCTACTTGTCGGTGCTGGCTTTCTACCTACCCGCTGACTCGGGAGAGAAGATCGCCCTTTGCATTAACATCCTGCTGTCGCAGACCATGTTTTTCCTCCTGATATCCGAGATCATACCATCTACATCGTTAGCTCTACCACTACTGGGCAAATACCTGCTTTTCACGATGATTCTAGTGGGCCTATCGGTAGTGATAACGATCATCATATTGAACGTTCACTACCGCAAGCCCAGCACCCACAAAATGGCACCGTGGGTTCGAAAAATTTTCATCAGAAGATTACCAAAATTATTACTGATGCGAGTGCCGGATGATCTGCTGAACGATCTCGCCGCGCACAAGATACACGGGAGAGGTAGATCGGGGACGAAGAGTAAGTTCACTGCAGCCGTTGCGGCCGCCATGCAATCGTCCTCGATAGTGTCCTCTCCAGACTCCGCTCGACATCAACGAATAGGTGGTACGCGTTCACGATAGAAATAATGTTGATTACCATCGCCGAGTGAATTAATCAAGAAACTATTTCTATTTTTGGTTTAGGATGCAACGGTTTGCACACGACGACCGCGCATAATAGATTCTTGGGAGGCATAGGTGGATATAATGGACTTCCTACAGTGATGTCCGGTTTAGACGAATCACTGAGCGACGTGACACCGAAGAAGAAATATCCGTTCGAGCTCGAGAAGGCTTTACACAACGTGATGTTCATTCAGCATCACATACAACGGCAAGACGAATTTAACGCGGTAAGCAACTTGCGTCGAATTGAACAATTCATTTTTTCCATTGTCATCTAGGTATTCGTGCGTATAATAATTTGTTATGATTAAAGTAAAGAAAACGGATGTTCCTTGTTTGAAATTATCGTGATTCTTCGTCACTATAGGAGGATCAAGACTGGGGTTTTGTCGCGATGGTTCTCGATCGACTATTCCTTTGGATCTTCACGATAGCTTCGTTCGTCGGCACGTTTACCATCCTCTGCGAAGCTCCAGCGCTGTACGACGACACCAAACCAATCGATATGGAGTACTCGTCCGTGGCCCAACAACAATTTCTTCCGCGTGGCGATTTGTTGGAAACACTCGCGTAGAATCGACTGCGCGGTGCCATTGGAAAACGCGAATGTCCGCGTATCGAATCCACATCTTATTTCCTTATTGCCGCTGCATTTCTCTTCATAGACTTCACGTTAGTCTCTGTAGGACGAAAGATAGTTCCTGCAGCTCCTGAAAATGGTTTCTCTTCGTCCCTTTTTCACATGTTCCTCACACGATCCTCGATAGCATATTGTGTTGAGGAATATTTCATTTATACGAATACTAATCACTATAATATGCGCGCACGTTGAACAAGTGCTCTTGAATCACAGTAAATTCGTTATCGTACAGTTAATAGAAAGATTGCAATATCAACTATTTGTAGGGATTTTTGTAAACATCAGTTACATAGAAACTGATTCCGAACGGAATATAACTAAGTATGAATCAAAGTCTAGCCGCGTATAGCGCAACTCGTCTTCTGCTCGAGTCTAATAACTTCTCGAACTACGCTCGAGAATATCGTTACGTAGCGTATGTATGGAACTTTTACAAGTATTAAAATATAAATCATCGTTTTTCATTTACGATACAAGTATGTATATACTCGAATCTGTTCGACATCTTGTACACTTATAAAAATAAAATACAAATAAAACTGTTACAATGTAATACGTTTCTGTTCGTGTTTATATATAACGTAATGGTTTTACGCACACTCGACCGCTTGCGGATCGTATGAATTTCATCTTTCGGCTTCGCACCGTTTAAAACAAACGTATATTTTATTATTCCAAACACATACATGAAAAATATTATACATTAAATGCACATTCTGCGGAATACATTTCAAACGCAGCCATAAAAACCGTTTTCAATTTTCTCTCTCTCTCTCTCTCTGTCCCCCTCTTTTTTCAGTTCACATAAGTAGCTTGAAGTATAATTATCGCTCGAGACAAAAATCAGATCAAATTAATTAGATTTTAACCGAATCGATAAAATAAACGATCAAACGACGCTGGTCAAATACTCGAATCTTCCTGCAGCTGTCATACAACTATCACATTCCTTTTTCCGAGTCTATGCGGCAATTTGAATCTATGTGAGATTATCGAAAATCACGGAAGCATGGAGAAACTAATAAAGAGTATAATCTTACAAATGTTTGAATCAGCCGCGAACTGCTGGAAGTAAGGCATATTTTAACCGACATGCCCTATTTCGTATTTCTTTTTGCTCCCTTCTAGAAGTAGATACATCGGAAGAAGCAAGGAAAGGCGAGTAAAACAATAATGAAAAAGGGGTAAATCGAAAGGAAGGAGCTCTAAAAACTAACGAGAAATAAGAACGTACAGTCTCTCGACATTTTAAACTTAGTATAAAATCAACTGATCGTCGAAGATTACCAAAAGAGAGAATTGATCTCACGTAAATTCGGAATGGCAAGTTAAGACTTCTCTAACCAATGACACTTGACTGCGAACACGTTCCATAGAACACTATTACATGTCGCTACTTTTGCGTAGTCCGAACAAACGCGTTTGTTCATTCTTTCAGATTTTAGCCCGAACATCATTTTAACGTTCTAAGAATAATCGATTATTTCGAACTTAAAAATACCTATACAATACGCGCACCGTTCTCAAAAAGAAAAACATCCAAAAAGTAGTGGAATGCGTCAAATGCAAGTGGGAAGGAATCTGTTCTCGGACCCAGCGCTCGAAAATATCTTTCTAACAGTACCTAATTCTATTTGTAAAACACACGTACACACACGCACACCAACACCCATCCGTCCGTCTAACTTGAATCAAACATGAAATGTATAATCGTCGACAACTATCACTCATAACAGTTTGCATCCGTGTCTTCTCGCAGGAAATAAGCGTCATATAATAGTATTTTTGACACAAACTATGACAATCCCATAACTGCCGATATTCTTAAGACACTTTGTCGGCCGCACGTACATCGATTGCGCTTGGAAAATTCGTAACGATTAAATAAGGTGAACATCTCATCAGTAACTCTATTTGTTGCTAACAAGGATTCGGAGAAATGATCGATCATCAAAAGATCTTAATCGGTTATACAAATAATGTGCGTGTTCGATTAGATATAACTCGATTCAACCCTTCCACGTACCGATATAATTTTTACAATTCGGACAAAAGTGATGGACGCTCATAAAACTGCTCATGCAGTATGGCAGACACGAGCAAAGGCAACATCTGAAATTGAAAGATTCGATCAGAGAAATTTCCCTTCACCTACGATCCGGCACCTTATAAAACCTAACGTTATGTATAGCCATGCTGGATAAGTGGAAAACAGATTACATTCGGATACGATGATAACTGAAGAACTGTACGACATACGCATGCTACTATATGAATTGGACGAAAGTCAATAACATATGAAACATTCAAGAGGAAAACAAGGAAAACTACAGAGCTGGCCTAATGCGAAGTTTCGAAATAATTCTGTAACCCATAGATGTAGAAGGAGGTGAAAGTAGAAACACTAAATGACTCGGCGATAAGGACGTGTATACGGTGCGACTGATAGAAGCGTATCAGGTCCATGAATCACGGGGTCAGAAAAAGCAGGAAGAGCAACAGATTAGAAAATAAAAGCCAAAGGAACGGAGTTGCTGATTGTTGGAAAATGTAGAAAAGTATCTTTAGTTACTCACCCGAGTAAGCAGAGTACGATGCAACAAATATGAGCGGTTGGTTGATGATCCGATATTGTGGTTGTTTTGATGCTTGAATGGCAGGTAGGGCAGGTCATTTTTATAGGATTTGGGCTCAGCTGGTACGCAATTGGCTGATGAATAATTCGAATTTCCGTCGGTGGTACGAAATTTGGACTCGGGTTATACGGCATCTGCCTTTGAATCGACGGCTCGCCTGGCCCTGGATAATTCGTCGGATATGACGGCGCCGGTTGACTCGATGGTTGATTATCTGAAATCATTCCCTATGCTATAGTTAAACTTGTCGTGGCAGCGATGAGTCGTTTATTCGCGAGAACGTAGTGCTGCTGGATTAGATGGATAGAACAGTACTATCAACCCAGCATTATAATACGTACAAAACGGTCTTGGCATAGAAGGTTCTCCTACTGGATATGGAAGGTTGGTTGGCGGTGCCGGATTACTAGTTATATTTCCAACAGCTTCTTCATACGAAGGCGGTGCTGTTGGCGGTGCCGACGGTTCTGTACCACCGACCGCAAAACCCATGTTCTTCTCCATTTTTCTGAAAAGATATCAATAAATTAATCAATTAAATCGTTTCGTGCAATTGAATTGTCTTAAATATTTTCGCCCAAACATGAGAGTATAAACGTTAAATCGAATGAACACGTTGAATACCGCACAATTTCATAGTACAAAATACTCGAAATGGAAAAAATATAACATTAAATCATTCGATTGAATTGCATTGTTATTATTGCAGGTTCATCTAGCTGAATGGCACCACATTAGCTGACATTACTTATAATATAGAAATGTTTTCAAATAATCATGGTTTAATTAAGTGAACCAAGTGAATAATTCGATTTGGTTGGGGGTCACCGGTGACATTCAACGTGTTAAAGAAAATACGACTCACTAGTCTAAAGGTTAATTGGCAATTCAGTTATTGCTTACTAAAGATCGAAGAGCTTGTTCCATTGCATCTTTTAGTCGGTTCGATCATTATCGCACATTATTTCAGTTTGGCCTTGATATGTAGCGCAATTGGGTCGTATAGAAGACCGCGAAAGAAGGTGTTTGAACGCGATGTAACGTGCCGCGCCGCGCCACACCGTGAAGAGGACAGACGAGCGCGAAAGTGCTCGCGAACGAATAGAAAGTTGAACGGATGTGTTGAGTAACCGAAATAACGCAATATATAACGCATGCATGTATGAAGACGCGTGAGCCTTTGCACACCCGCATCTAGGAAGTCAAAATAATCTCATCTGCTTTTCTCCTACGATGGCCTTTCATTTTCAACAGTTCCATGATTCCTTCGATAGCACGTTCGTGAGATAAAAATCGGAACGTGAACCTTCGCGTTCAAAACATTGAGTCATCAAGTTGACTATGCCCGGACTGTGCACGCATTTCCGTTATTGGTGAACCGAAAAATGCATAGTGACGTAATCTCGCCAGATTTGCCAAAATTATTAAAATTTTAATTGAAAGAAGTAAAATGTTGCAAATGCTTGCAAATTAATAGTGCAATGGATATATTCGATGAAATGACTGCAAGGTCGTTCAGATGATCGTGTAAAATCATATCATCGACCATCAGTTATCGTTCGTTTATAAAATTAAGATATTCAGGATAAATATGCAAAACTGAAACGCCGAGTTGCAATGGTGAAAAAGTTAACGGCGTAACAGTGCACCGATAATCGATCTTATAAAACATTTATTAATAAATATTCCCATTACAATACTCAGGGAACATGCATACACATTTCCGTAACTCTACAGTTCTTCTCGGAAAATGTATGTACGTTTGATTATGTAAGCATCT